TTTTTGGAGAGGTTTTTGCCATAGGGCGCATGCACTTGCCAGACAGATAGAAAGAGACACAGAGACAGGAAGCGAGAAATCACCCCCCAGGGGGGATAGCCACGCCGTAATCCCTTCTCTCCATTCTCCTGTCAGGATCTTGGGCACGTACGCACACACGCCCAGCGTGAGTTTTAAGCCACCGGGTCCAGGACGCGAACCATGGTCGACTATGTGGGAGTCCAGCGACATAGCCATTACTCTAACTGCTGGTCCCAGGATAGACATTTCTAATTACACTTTGACTCCAAAGGGGGAAGCAGCAAGAATGGGTACAAAGTCCCAGGGAACCATGAATAGCAGAAAAAAAAACAGTTGCAAATGCCCATGGGTTGAAAATGAAAATTACAATATTTTAGGACCTGCCTCCTTCCACTCTATTCCCAGCCTTACTACCCATACAGAAAGAGATGCCACCTATAGGAAGCTCACAATAATGCCATATCATAGGTTTTCTAGACTCTGCCTAAGGATTCCTCAATCTCAGAAGCCAAAGGTTTCCAAGACAGGCCTGCTTTTACCTTTAGCATTGACACCAGCCCCAGAGCACCCATGCAGCCTAGTTAAAACCCAATTTAGGAGAGGATGGTGCTGCTGGCTGTGCTTCCATCACATGGAGGTGTCTTCTGCTTGGATATCTACTAGGTATGTTTTTCAAGATTTTATGAAAGACGCTGATCTTAAAGATGTTTAGAAACTTTGAGCTTAGAGCCATTAAAAGCAATTTGGGTTCACAAATAATACAGGAAGGGTTCCTAGAGCCATAGGAACGGGGCTGATGGCACTCCCAGGATGACTACCCACAGTCATCCCCATCCTGCTCAGTCTCTCGGCTTAGATTAACCTCTATCTAAATGTTGGAAGACTACCAAGAGCTAGAGGCATTGGGTAATTACAACAAAATTGAAGTATTGAAAATAATAACAGCTAAAATTCACCCAGCACTCACAATGCACCAGGGTCTTCACATGTATTAATTCATTTAATCCTCAAAACCACCTCTTGAGACAAATGTTATTATCATCTATTTTACAGATTAGGAAAACTTAGGCACAGGAAGACTACTAAGTAAGTTGCCAAACCTAGAAATAGCAAAGCTGTGAACCAGGCAGAGACAACTGGACTCTGGGGCCAGGGTTCTTATGGCCTATTGCTTCAGCCCTCCCTTTGCAACTCTTAAGATATGGTTTCTCAATGACATAAAACTCTGTCTTCAATGATCTCCTCAAAAGGGTTGTCTGGGGAAGAAAAAGGAGGAAAAAAAAAGGTGAACTAGGTCCCCGTCCAAACCCAGCCAAACAAGAAGCCTTGATCTCTTTCATCTTTTCCCGAATGTTTGCAAAGTAAATGGTTCTCTTCTCACAGCAGATATGAGATGGTTCCACAGAGTTCAGAGATTGGGGCCCAAGGTATGACTCCTTAATAGGCTCTTAGGCTCCATGCAAGGCCAAGGCAAATGTGTTGGACAGCTGTCTCTACTTCATCTTGTGCCCATTTCAACAGCTGTGTAGTGGGTTCGATTAAATTTGCCTTGAGGCTGTCTCCCTACTTTTGAGTTTCTGCATAATGAACTGCAATCAAATTTAGTATGTAAACAAGCTAAATCTTAATTCAGGTGTATATTTTTGGTAACAGATAGCCAGATCTCAGCCAATGATAAGAGCCAAGTTTCAGTTAATCACAGGTAGCCAATTGATTAGACCATGCTCAAATAAGGCAAACTCTTGGCTGTCACCAATGAAGTTATTTCTGTACTTTACTCCCTGTTCTGTCTAAATATCCATCACCTACACTGCAGAGCAGAGTTCTCTGAATATCTTTTGGTTCTGAATGCTGCCTCACTCATGAGTCTTTTCTTTTTTTTTTTCTGAAATAAATTCTATTACATTTATTTTGCTACAATATTTTGGTTTTTGATTTTTACTTTTAACAACAGTGACCATAGACAAGATTTGCAACGTGTCAAACACTGGTCAAAATGCTTTACAAATATTAGCTTACTCAAACTGTCATATTACAAGGAGAAATGTACTTTTATTATCCCCATTTTAAAGTGTATTTATTTATTTCAGAGAGAGATTTTTGATAGGGTCTCATCATGTCAGGATGCTCCTGTCCCAGCCTTTCAACTAGCCAGGATTATAGGTATATCATCATGCCTGATCTGATTAGGTTGGGCTGGAAACTGGATCTGGGCCCCCCATGTGGCCTCAGCCTCTCAGCAGCAGCCTCCTAGCAACATATTCCCTGTGGCTGAACCTGTCCCTTTCACAGGTGAGAAAACTGAGGCACAGAGAAGATTAATAACTGACCTGAGGTCATACAGCCAGTAGGTTAGTGACAAAGCCAGGGTGAACCCAGGAAATCTGACTCCAGACTGTAATTGTAATTACTCTGCCCTTCTGTTTCTCAAAACCTGGATTATCAAAAGAAGCAAAGGATTGACCCAGGTTTAGAAAGCCAGAGAGATTCCCCAAGCAATGTCTACTTTGTGGTAGGAAGATCTGAGCAGTGCGGCAGGATTTAGGGGTCCGTGGGGGCTTAATTTCCCCAGTATTCATCAGAGATTGCTACACTCATTCGTTAGTACAAGATCTGGTATTATTTCAGTCATAATGGGATATTCAAAGCAATCTCCTAGTAAAAAAGTCTCCTAGTACTGACAGTCCCTGACTCATGATGGTTCAACTTAAAATTTTTTGATTTTGTGGTGGTGTGAAATGATATGTATTAAGTAGCGATGGTATTTTGAGTACCCATACACCCATTCTATTTGTCGTTTTCAGTACAGTATTCAGTAAATTACATGAGCTACTTATTATGAAGTAAGCTTTGTTTAGATGATTTTGCCGAATTATAGTCTAATTTAAATGTCCTCAGCATGTTTTTAAAAGAAATATTTATTTAAGTTATTGTTATTATTATTTTAATTTGACCAGAGAGAGATCAGGAAGGAAAGTGACAAAGCAAATCACCAGTTCTGGGACTCAAGTCATGGTGGGCCATGTGGGAGTCCAGTGTCTTAAGCACCATGCCACCTCCCAGCTCCATATCAGCATGTTCAAGGTAAGCTAGGCCATAATGTTCAGTAGGTTAGATGTATTAAAAGCATTTTCAATGTAGGTTACTTTCAATTTACATACATTTATCAAGATGTTATCCCACTGTAAGTCAAGGAGCATCTGTATTCCCACCCTTATTTGCCTTTGGATCACACAGTCAGCCTATCCTATCCTCCACAGGAATTATGGGCCTGCCACACTCTGAGGTTCAATTGAGTCACCACCTATTGTCTTACCATCCTGAGCTCATTAGTTTATGTAAAAATGGGGCTAAATATGACCTACCTCACAAATCACGAGGATTAAATATGTGCATAAAAGTGGTATACGAGGGTTGGAACAAAATATTTTTTTCTAGAAAGAAATGATTGAAAGAAAAGTAAGGGGGGGCTCATTTTTTTTTTCCCTAAAATTAAGGTGTTTGAGTACAAAAACAGCCTTAGTCCTTCACAGTCATAGAGGTCCCTGCTATGGGCACTATGGTTTAGGGAAAAGGTTGGCAAACTTCTCCGTAAAGGGCAAGATAATATTTTAGGTTTTATAGACCTATGCAGTCTTTGCCACAACTTCTCAACTCTACGTTGAAGAGAGAAAGCAACCACAGATGATAGATAATAGAATTTTATTTCTGAAAACAGGTAGTAGACTGGGTTTGATTCAGGGGTAATAGTTTGCTGACTTTTGCTTTATAGGGCTCCATTCTGATTCTCTTTCAGAAGCACCCATGAGGTGAGGAGCCTGTAAAGCTAGGGCACATCTACTTGGAGCTCACATTCCTCCTCCTCTCACCATAACCCAGATATCTAGGACTCCTGCCCAAATAGACCCCGTAGCCTGTGCCCACTTTCAGGGTCCACACAAACTCTATCCCTGGGTCTAGTATCATTGACGGTGGAGCATACCAGAGGTTCCGTGTGTGTGTGTGTGTGTGTGTGTGTGTATTAGGAGATGAAAGTGGGCCATGGACAAATCTTAGATGCAGATCTTGAGATGTCTACAAGTATGCACATGAGGCCCCTGCTCTGCAAGAGCCAAAGGTGGGAAGAGAAAGGAGTTGCCTGTGTGCTGGGAGTTGAGTGCACATGCTACCACATTCTGGTGTGGAATTCTGAAGCATCTGAGAATTCTAAATTATAGTCTGTTCCTCTAGGTTGTTTTTTTTTTTTTTTTTTTTGGAGAGATTTTCACTGTAGGGCGTGTGCGCTCGCCAGACAGACAGAGAGAGACATAGAGACAGAAAGCAAGAAATCACCCCCCAGGAGGGATGGTCACGCCGCAATCCCTTCTCCTCCATTCTCCTCTCGGGATCTTGGGCACGCACGCACACGCGCCCGGCGTGAGTTTTAAGCCACCGGGTCCGGGACACGAACCGTGGTCGACTACGTGGGAGTCCAGCGACATAGCCATTATGCTAACTGCTGGTTCCCCCTCTAGGTTGTTTTGAAATCATATTTGTTAATGTAGGCTCGTAAATCATATTTATGTTAGTGTGTTAGTATGTTAGTTTGTTTTTTTAAAGAAAGACTTTTTGCCATAGGACATGTGCACTCACTAAAGAGAGAGAGAGAAAGTGAGAAATTGCCCTCCCAGGGGGATGGCCACATCACAATCCCTTCTCCTCCATTCTCCTCTTGGGACCTTGGGCATGCACAGACATGTGCCTCATGTAAGTTTCAAGTCTTTGAGTCTGGGACTTGAACTGTGGTCAACCACTATGCCACTTGCAGCCCCAGTTTTCCCTTTTAAATATTTTATCATTTGATATGCAGGCCCTCATTTGTACCCTAACCCTGCCCCCACCCCCATAGAAGGAGCAGGCAGCCTAATAGCCCTGTGTCCAGGATTGTACAAATGAGGCTATATTTACTGGAACAATATGATTTTTTTATTGTGCTTCAGGGCAGTAAGTCAATAACTATACAAAAACAAAGGCAGACCCTATCTAAGGGCTGAGAAATTCAGGGAAAGCTTGGAAAAGAGAGATCTGGAGGCATCACGGTGAGGGAAATCCTACAGGAAAATTCCTGGAGAGGAAGCAGGTGGCAGGGTCATCTTGCTTATTCTGCTGTAAGTAAGCCTGAAAACAAAAGGAAGAACTTTTTAAAGCCCAACTCAATCATATGAGACCTGAATGGAGTTATTAAACCATCATGCTCAGAACTGGAAGGTTCTAGCCAGGAAGCCTCAAAGTTCTGGGGCCTTCTGCAGGATAGCATGGTTGATTCTCTTCAGTTGTCTGTCTCCAGTAAGCCCAGTTCCCTAGTCTTCCATCCCCTGCCCTAGATCTGATGACTCTCATGAATAGTTGGTCAGCAATGGTCTTAATTTACAGTATAAAATGCACAGAGGGGACGTGGGACCCAGACAAGGAATAGCAGCAAAGTCACTGCTGACCTTCAGCTCAAAGAAGACTTGGGCAAGAGCCTATCAACAATGATCATGAGATCTCACAAATGTCTAGAATAAGTCAGATCAACTGTGGGAGTTGGGGGAGGGAGCACTAAATAATGAGAGAGATTGTGTTTCTTACCAGTCCAATGAGCTGAAGGCATTGAATCAGATTTATCTTGATATAGAAAATTAAAATAGACTGATGTTTTTGTAACCAAGAATTGTGAATCAACTTGGGAGTATTTGCAATCCTTATACATGGAAAAGAAAGTCCTTAGCTCACACTGCTCAATAATTGGCAACTAAAATTATTTTAATGTTAAGACTATGGGAAGGCGCTCCCAGAACAGCCCTTCTTCAAGAGGCAGCCAGCTCCATGGCTCCTGTGATCTAGCCATTTGGGAAGAAAGGAAGATGTCCCACTGATAACTGGGCCTCCAGCATCCAAAACTCGCGTGAACAGCCCTTCTTCAAGAGGCAGACAGCTCCATGGCTCCTGTGATCTAGCCATTTGGGGAGAAAGGAAGATGTCCCACTGATAACTGGGCCTCCAGCATCCAAAACTCGCGTGAACAGCCCTTCTTCAAGAGGCAGACAGCTCCATGGCTCCTGTGATCTAGCCATTTGGGGAGAAAGGAAGATGTCCCACTGATAACTGGGCCTCCAGCATCCAAAACTCGCGTGAACAGCCCTTCTTCAAGAGGCAGACAGCTCCATGGCTCCTGTGATCTAGCCATTTGGGGAGAAAGGAAGATGTCCCACTGATAACTGGGCCTCCAGCATCCAAAACTCGCGTGAACAGCCCTTCTTCAAGAGGCAGACAGCTCCATGGCTCCTGTGATCTAGCCATTTGGGGAGAAAGGAAGATGTCCCACTGATAACTGGGCCTCCAGCATCCAAAACTCGCGTGAACAGCCCTTCTTCAAGAGGCAGACAGCTCCATGGCTCCTGTGATCTAGCCATTTGGGGAGAAAGGAAGATGTCCCACTGATAACTGGGCCTCCAGCATCCAAAACTCGCGTGAACAGCCCTTCTTCAAGAGGCAGACAGCTCCATGGCTCCTGTGATCTAGCCATTTGGGGAGAAAGGAAGATGTCCCACTGATAACTGGGCCTCCAGCATCCAAAACTCGCGTGAACAGCCCTTCTTCAAGAGGCAGACAGCTCCATGGCTCCTGTGATCTAGCCATTTGGGGAGAAAGGAAGATGTCCCACTGATAACTGGGCCTCCAGCATCCAAAACTCGCGTGAACAGCCCTTCTTCAAGAGGCAGACAGCTCCATGGCTCCTGTGATCTAGCCATTTGGGGAGAAAGGAAGATGTCCCACTGATAACTGGGCCTCCAGCATCCAAAACTCGCGTGAACAGCCCTTCTTCAAGAGGCAGACAGCTCCATGGCTCCTGTGATCTAGCCATTTGGGGAGAAAGGAAGATGTCCCACTGATAACTGGGCCTCCAGCATCCAAAACTCGCGTGAACAGCCCTTCTTCAAGAGGCAGACAGCTCCATGGCTCCTGTGATCTAGCCATTTGGGGAGAAAGGAAGATGTCCCACTGATAACTGGGCCTCCAGCATCCAAAACTCGCGTGAACAGCCCTTCTTCAAGAGGCAGACAGCTCCATGGCTCCTGTGATCTAGCCATTTGGGGAGAAAGGAAGATGTCCCACTGATAACTGGGCCTCCAGCATCCAAAACTCGCGTGAACAGCCCTTCTTCAAGAGGCAGACAGCTCCATGGCTCCTGTGATCTAGCCATTTGGGGAGAAAGGAAGATGTCCCACTGATAACTGGGCCTCCAGCATCCAAAACTCGCGTGAACAGCCCTTCTTCAAGAGGCAGACAGCTCCATGGCTCCTGTGATCTAGCCATTTGGGGAGAAAGGAAGATGTCCCACTGATAACTGGGCCTCCAGCATCCAAAACTCGCGTGAACAGCCCTTCTTCAAGAGGCAGACAGCTCCATGGCTCCTGTGATCTAGCCATTTGGGGAGAAAGGAAGATGTCCCACTGATAACTGGGCCTCCAGCATCCAAAACTCGCGTGAACAGCCCTTCTTCAAGAGGCAGACAGCTCCATGGCTCCTGTGATCTAGCCATTTGGGGAGAAAGGAAGATGTCCCACTGATAACTGGGCCTCCAGCATCCAAAACTCGCGTGAACAGCCCTTCTTCAAGAGGCAGACAGCTCCATGGCTCCTGTGATCTAGCCATTTGGGGAGAAAGGAAGATGTCCCACTGATAACTGGGCCTCCAGCATCCAAAACTCGCGTGAACAGCCCTTCTTCAAGAGGCAGACAGCTCCATGGCTCCTGTGATCTAGCCATTTGGGGAGAAAGGAAGATGTCCCACTGATAACTGGGCCTCCAGCATCCAAAACTCGCGTGAACAGCCCTTCTTCAAGAGGCAGACAGCTCCATGGCTCCTGTGATCTAGCCATTTGGGGAGAAAGGAAGATGTCCCACTGATAACTGGGCCTCCAGCATCCAAAACTCGCGTGAACAGCCCTTCTTCAAGAGGCAGACAGCTCCATGGCTCCTGTGATCTAGCCATTTGGGGAGAAAGGAAGATGTCCCACTGATAACTGGGCCTCCAGCATCCAAAACTCGCGTGAACAGCCCTTCTTCAAGAGGCAGACAGCTCCATGGCTCCTGTGATCTAGCCATTTGGGGAGAAAGGAAGATGTCCCACTGATAACTGGGCCTCCAGCATCCAAAACTCGCGTGAACAGCCCTTCTTCAAGAGGCAGACAGCTCCATGGCTCCTGTGATCTAGCCATTTGGGGAGAAAGGAAGATGTCCCACTGATAACTGGGCCTCCAGCATCCAAAACTCGCGTGAACAGCCCTTCTTCAAGAGGCAGACAGCTCCATGGCTCCTGTGATCTAGCCATTTGGGGAGAAAGGAAGATGTCCCACTGATAACTGGGCCTCCAGCATCCAAAACTCGCGTGAACAGCCCTTCTTCAAGAGGCAGACAGCTCCATGGCTCCTGTGATCTAGCCATTTGGGGAGAAAGGAAGATGTCCCACTGATAACTGGGCCTCCAGCATCCAAAACTCGCGTGAACAGCCCTTCTTCAAGAGGCAGACAGCTCCATGGCTCCTGTGATCTAGCCATTTGGGGAGAAAGGAAGATGTCCCACTGATAACTGGGCCTCCAGCATCCAAAACTCGCGTGAACAGCCCTTCTTCAAGAGGCAGACAGCTCCATGGCTCCTGTGATCTAGCCATTTGGGGAGAAAGGAAGATGTCCCACTGATAACTGGGCCTCCAGCATCCAAAACTCGCGTGAACAGCCCTTCTTCAAGAGGCAGACAGCTCCATGGCTCCTGTGATCTAGCCATTTGGGGAGAAAGGAAGATGTCCCACTGATAACTGGGCCTCCAGCATCCAAAACTCGCGTGAACAGCCCTTCTTCAAGAGGCAGACAGCTCCATGGCTCCTGTGATCTAGCCATTTGGGGAGAAAGGAAGATGTCCCACTGATAACTGGGCCTCCAGCATCCAAAACTCGCGTGAACAGCCCTTCTTCAAGAGGCAGACAGCTCCATGGCTCCTGTGATCTAGCCATTTGGGGAGAAAGGAAGATGTCCCACTGATAACTGGGCCTCCAGCATCCAAAACTCGCGTGAACAGCCCTTCTTCAAGAGGCAGACAGCTCCATGGCTCCTGTGATCTAGCCATTTGGGGAGAAAGGAAGATGTCCCACTGATAACTGGGCCTCCAGCATCCAAAACTCGCGTGAACAGCCCTTCTTCAAGAGGCAGACAGCTCCATGGCTCCTGTGATCTAGCCATTTGGGGAGAAAGGAAGATGTCCCACTGATAACTGGGCCTCCAGCATCCAAAACTCGCGTGAACAGCCCTTCTTCAAGAGGCAGACAGCTCCATGGCTCCTGTGATCTAGCCATTTGGGGAGAAAGGAAGATGTCCCACTGATAACTGGGCCTCCAGCATCCAAAACTCGCGTGAACAGCCCTTCTTCAAGAGGCAGACAGCTCCATGGCTCCTGTGATCTAGCCATTTGGGGAGAAAGGAAGATGTCCCACTGATAACTGGGCCTCCAGCATCCAAAACTCGCGTGAACAGCCCTTCTTCAAGAGGCAGACAGCTCCATGGCTCCTGTGATCTAGCCATTTGGGGAGAAAGGAAGATGTCCCACTGATAACTGGGCCTCCAGCATCCAAAACTCGCGTGAACAGCCCTTCTTCAAGAGGCAGACAGCTCCATGGCTCCTGTGATCTAGCCATTTGGGGAGAAAGGAAGATGTCCCACTGATAACTGGGCCTCCAGCATCCAAAACTCGCGTGAACAGCCCTTCTTCAAGAGGCAGACAGCTCCATGGCTCCTGTGATCTAGCCATTTGGGGAGAAAGGAAGATGTCCCACTGATAACTGGGCCTCCAGCATCCAAAACTCGCGTGAACAGCCCTTCTTCAAGAGGCAGACAGCTCCATGGCTCCTGTGATCTAGCCATTTGGGGAGAAAGGAAGATGTCCCACTGATAACTGGGCCTCCAGCATCCAAAACTCGCGTGAACAGCCCTTCTTCAAGAGGCAGACAGCTCCATGGCTCCTGTGATCTAGCCATTTGGGGAGAAAGGAAGATGTCCCACTGATAACTGGGCCTCCAGCATCCAAAACTCGCGTGAACAGCCCTTCTTCAAGAGGCAGACAGCTCCATGGCTCCTGTGATCTAGCCATTTGGGGAGAAAGGAAGATGTCCCACTGATAACTGGGCCTCCAGCATCCAAAACTCGCGTGAACAGCCCTTCTTCAAGAGGCAGACAGCTCCATGGCTCCTGTGATCTAGCCATTTGGGGAGAAAGGAAGATGTCCCACTGATAACTGGGCCTCCAGCATCCAAAACTCGCGTGAACAGCCCTTCTTCAAGAGGCAGACAGCTCCATGGCTCCTGTGATCTAGCCATTTGGGGAGAAAGGAAGATGTCCCACTGATAACTGGGCCTCCAGCATCCAAAACTCGCGTGAACAGCCCTTCTTCAAGAGGCAGACAGCTCCATGGCTCCTGTGATCTAGCCATTTGGGGAGAAAGGAAGATGTCCCACTGATAACTGGGCCTCCAGCATCCAAAACTCGCGTGAACAGCCCTTCTTCAAGAGGCAGACAGCTCCATGGCTCCTGTGATCTAGCCATTTGGGGAGAAAGGAAGATGTCCCACTGATAACTGGGCCTCCAGCATCCAAAACTCGCGTGAACAGCCCTTCTTCAAGAGGCAGACAGCTCCATGGCTCCTGTGATCTAGCCATTTGGGGAGAAAGGAAGATGTCCCACTGATAACTGGGCCTCCAGCATCCAAAACTCGCGTGTTTGGGAAGAAACCGACCATCCACCAGATGACTAGAAATCGCTGCAGGACCACAAGAAATATGGGGAAGCAGGAAAATACCTCTCCCACAAGGGAAAAGGATAGCTCCTCTTTATCCACACACAGTTCAATGGAAATCATGGAAATGTCTGATAAAGAATTCAGAACATTCATAATGGCAAAGCTAACAGAGATGGAAGAGAAGAGAGACAAGGAACTGCTGAAGAGGAAGGAGAAAGGAGTTGAAGAGTTCCAGGAGGTGAGGAAATTCATGCTAGATCTAAAAGAGGAATTTCACACTTTACAAAAGAATCAGATGGAACTGTTAGAGATGAAGGCTATAATACAAGAAGTCAAAATCTCCCTTGAAAGTATTAAAAGCAGACTAGATCATACAGAAAATAGAATCTCTAATGTAGAAGAGAAAATGGTTGGCCTAGAAAAATCCACCGCGAAGACTGAGAAAATGGCCCAAAAATTTGAGAATAATATGCGAGAAGTACTAGATACCATCAAACGTCCAAACATCCGGATAATAGGCATCCCAGAAGGTGAAGAGACTCATAAGGGCATTGATAATCTATTCCATGAAATCTTACAAGAAAATTTTCCAAACCTGGAGAGGCACTCAAAGATTCAGTCCCAAGAAATACAGAGGACCCCAAATAGAATCAACCCAAGAAGATCTTCTCCAAGACACATTATAGCCAGATTGACCAAAACCACAGACAAAGACAAGATACTAAGACTGGCAAGAGAAAAAAGGCAAGTTACCTACAAAGGGTATCCCATCAGACTAACGGCAGACCTCTCATCGGAAACAATGAGAGCGAGGAGAGAATGGGAAAATGTATTCAAAGTATTAAGGGAAAAGCAATTTCAACCGAGAATTCTGTACCCAGCAAGGTTATCGTTCATTTGGGAAGAAAAGACACGAACTTTCCCAGATAAACAAAACCTGAAAGAATTTACCAGCACCAGACCGGATCTCCAAGAAGTTCTTAAGGGAGTGCTATGTCAGTAAAATTAAATGCAGACACACAGAAATAAGAGTTCAGAAACTAAGAAAATGGGCAACTTAATTGTAGGGCCAAAAGCTGGAGTTGAGTATTACATCCCAGATTTCAATCTGGAACATCGAACCTCAACAGATACAGAAGAAAGATTAAGTACATGAGACTGAACTGATGAAACAGTATTCTACGACTTGACTAAAATATTGCTGCTTTTCTTCTAAGCTTTGTTGTCCGGTTTTAAGGATTTTTGTCCTGTCTTCAGCTATCAATAGATTCATGTTCCTACTATTTGAACAGAATACTAACCTGTTTCTAGGCTTTAAGTTTCAAAGAAATATCCTTACCAGTTCAAAACTGCTTTTCTTGAAACCATCGGCTGATCTTGCTATTGAAAGTAGTTAGATTACTTATGATATTGTGTGACCAACGAAATGTTGGGGGAAAAGGGATTGAAGACAACTGTAGACAGCAGAGATAGTGTAATAAGAGAGTGGAATAGGGCAGAGGGCTAGACATGGGGTAAAAAAACATATATATGAAAGTAGAAATGGAATATTATGGATGAGAACATGCATTACTAAGCCACTATACAGTACATTCTAGATGGGAAATCACATTTAGAATGTTGTGATGATGCTCAGGGGATGAATGTAAATTAATAAAAAAAATTTCAGAAGAAAAAAAAAAGGCATTAGAAATACCTATTTGATGACTGCAGTTAAGCTATATAGCCCTAGTTAGGTGCTACTTTATAGTATGTTCATTCTATTCACTGAGGTTTATGCCTAAAGTCAGACTTGTGTTCATGGATATGTACATATCAGCTGTGCTTGCTGTTGAAAATATTTAGATTTATTAAGATATTTAGTGAAACAATAAAATGGGGGAGGCATAGAAAGCACCAATAGATACCAGACACAGTGTGGGAGGAGGGTGGGAGATGGCAGAGGGTGAGATAGGGAATCAAGAATGGGGAAAAAGGCAAAATATACAGAAAACAAGAAATGGAAAATGATTTGTTGACAATAACATGTTGATGTGCTTGATTGAGCCAATATACAGTGTATTCTCAATGGAAAAATCTCATTTTGTATGCTATAATGATGTACAGTGAATGAATGTAAATAAAGAAAAAAATGTAAATAAAAAAAAAAAAAAAAAAAAAAAAAGACTATGGGAAGGCTATCTAACTGACAGAATCAGCCTAATCAACAAGAAAACATGGCAGAAGATACAGAGGAGCATAAGGAAGGATCTGTCCAAATAGGTAATGATGATCTCCCTTGGTCTTCTGTTTCCAGCTCTGTACAACTCTCTGCCCACTCCCAGCTCCAGCCCCAAACTCTATTACCTTCACAGGGAGCCAAGGTTTTTCTTGACAGCTTGGACAAGCGGGTAGGGGCCTTGATTGCAGGATTTGCCAGTGAAGTCATCCAGGTCAATAGACCAGATCATGGCCCCGCCTAGGTTTAAATTCTTTAGAAACTGAACCTGTGGGAGGTGCAGAGGGACATATGTAGATTAGGAGAGGACCTTAAATGCCCATAACTAAATCAGGTTCAAATGAAGATTTGAGTTGAGAATGCGGCTCTAGATTTAATGATTTTCTTGGAGTTAGAGAGTTCCTGAAGGGAAATATTGCTCAGGGAGAAAAAGAAAGGGCCACCCATGATTTATAACCTTCTGTTTTGGCTTGTGGGGTCACTGCATTTTTGGAGGCTATGAAAATTAAGAAGCCCTTAGCAAGACAAATGGCCTGGGATTGTCAATTGTACTTATACCTCCTTCCTGCCCTAAACCTGGAAGACAAACAACATAAGTCAATGTCTAAGAACTGGTAGGCTCAGAAATCTGAAGCCTCCTAATCAGGTAATCCATGAGACAGACTGAACAGTTTGTCCTGGTATAATTGACAAGGTAGAAAGGTAAATAATCGCTCTATACAGAAACAGATGTCTCCTTTATTCCCTCTCTCTTCTTCTTTCTCAACTCTTCTCTCCACTTGTTACTTCCTCACTTATTCTCAATCCTTTCTTGCATCCTTTCATCTTTCCTGCCTACAACACAGGTGCTCACAGGTGTGGCTTAGAGTCACTAAGGGCTTGGGCTACAGAGGCCCCTGGATCTGATCCTAGAGTCTGGGTCTCCAGAAGCTCCTCTCTTTCAAAATTGAGTATTTTGCCACATATTCCCATTCCCACTAAAAGGAGTATCCCTCCCGCTCCCATCCAAAAATCTCTTTCCTACCTACCTTAGTCTCTATACTCTCCACATCGTCATACCCCACCCACTGGTTCCCCTTGACTGCAAAAGGAACTTGTTGATCCTGAAGCCTTGTGATCTTGGCTCCTTGCAGGAATTGACAGACCTGGCAGAAGAAAGGGAAACAAGAGGGTCATAATGGGCTATTCTTGAACTTTAATGAGGTAGACAGGGCAGATGAGTTACTAGGGGCTTGACAAAAATATCAAAACTTTTATTTTAGGGCTCAAACAATGAGAATTTACCCAATCCATAATACAGAATGGATGGTCCAACATGAACTTAACATAAACTGTTCATGTTAAGGCTTCACCAGGAGGAAGCATAAGCAGCTAGAAATCAGAAAATACTTGAGTTCTAGATCAGATCCCAGCAGTGACCAATACATTTTCTCATTTATTCATTTGTGAAATGCACATAATTATACTAATGTCTTCTACATATTTATCCTACGATAGCATTAAGACTTAATGAACTAATGTATGTGAACGATATTTTTTGAAAACAAACAGCAAAATTGCTCTATAAATGTGAAGTATTGTGATGACCATCACCATCATTCCCCATCTTGTAGCTTATTCCTGCTCAATCCCACTACTCTCCCTCTGTCCCTTCCCATTCCCAATATGCTCTGTTCTGGGATCACCCCTTCTATCATTGGTTAGTTTCTCTCTCTTTCTTTCTTTCTTTCTTTCTTTCTTTCTTTCTTTCTTTCTTTCTTTCTTTCTTTCTTTCTTTCTTTTTTCTTTCTTTTTTCCTAATTGCCAGATGGCACATGATTTCTCCAGAGAGGGAGAGACAAAGAAAGAGGGAGAAAGCACATTGCAATCCCTTTTCCTCTATTTATCCATCCTGTTGGGATTTGGGACACACATGTACACATGCTTGGAGTGTTTTTAAAGCCTTCACGGTTGGAACTTGAACCATAGTCAGTCATATTGGATCTGGCTTCTCTTAATCAGTAGGCTCTGGAACCAGTCCCATCAGGTACATAGGTCCTTGGGTTTGTCTTGGGCCCTATTCACTTCTCACAATCTGCTTTGTCTTCAAACCCATCTTTATCTGGTGATTTTAAAATCTACATCTCTAGTTCATACTACCTTCTATGATCCAAATCCATATACCTAATTGTTCACTTGTTTTCTGTATATCCCATAGGCAACTGGATGTCCCACAGGCTCTTCGAACTCAGGATTCTGAAATTGATCTCATATTCAGTACCAATACTCACTCTACTTCCTCTACTGTCTTTTCTCTTCCACTTAGCTGTCCAAGTCAACAACCTGGGGAAATTGCCCTTTTGCAAACTCCCATATCCTTCTCTACACATCCCTATTCCTGGCTAGCTCCATCTCCTCTTCAAGAGTTCAACTTATTTCACTTCCCCCAGGAAGTGTTCCCTGACCCCCTCCCCAAGACAGGAGTAGGAGCATTTCTTACATATCACAGTGGTACTGGATACATCTACCTTCGCGACACTCAATGAGTTACTGTATTATTGCCAGACTGAAGCTGGACTTCCTACCCAGATACGGCACGTAGCTGAATACATGAGGAGGCTCCAGGTACCTCATAATAAGCCAGGAAGCCTGAAGACTTGGTGATGGGACCAGCAGCTCCAGGACCAGAGGCAGGGGCCCCCAGAGAAGTTTCTGCAGAGGCCAATGTGAAGGAATGTCCATACGTGGGGATGCCCATGATGATCTTCTCAGCAGGCATTCCCTTACGTATCCAGTATGCAACAGCATATTCCTAGAAAGTGAAAATAAACTGACACTCTTGTTGTGGGGAAAGAGGTTAACAGGCCTTTCTTAGCCTGCATCTCAAACTTCATAGAGATGATTCCTTTTCTATATTCAAGTGTGGAAAGTATCATCAGGACCAGAGTGCCTTTTCTAATTTATTTAATGCTCTTCTGCCGTAAGAGACTCTTTTTTTTTTTTTGGTAAGTTATGGGATGGGGGGAATGATTGGACAGTGGATCATACAATAAATCAGGCAATGGATTGAGAAAACATGAAGTCAATATTGTCACCCTATTTATTTTCCCTTTGAGTCAATTGCCTATGGATTTTGTCTACACTATGGCTAATCATGCTTAATGACGAAGATGGCCATCAGACTGCCACTATGTAAAACATCAAAATGGCTTTGGACTCAGAATGACATATTGGAAAGTAAGAGGCTAGTTTTCATCTTCCTGTACTCTAGAACAAAACAAGAGGTTAAAACACATGAGAATGTGTTTCCTCATCCTTAAAGATAGCCATCAGAGAGATAGGAGTAGAGGAGGTTGATATGACTCAACCACATGGAGTCTTAGAAAACTCCAAACTAGAAATCAGAAGATCCAGTTTTGAATGACCAGTTTTGTAATGTTAGATTAAAGGCTTGGAAACATGCAATCTAGACAACACTTTTTTCTCCTCAAATTTTAGAAATCCACATTTATATATATA